TAGGTGTTTACCTGCAGATGTAGAATATTGATAGTGCTGTACCTAAAATTCCCTCTTACCCTGAACAAAATTGTCAGGATATGCAGAAATTTTTTTAACATAAAATAAATATTTTAACAATAAAATAAATATTTTACCATTAAAAACAATCATCTGTGTAGAGTAGCCCTTATTACTCCTTAGTATAGAAGTATACAGTAGATGAAAAAGTAGACCATTAAGCTTTATGTATATAGAGGTGCTAAATGTGAACAAGCACCAGCAATTCACTGATGTGGCAAAGCCAATTAATAGGGGTTAATAAAATGAAAAATTAAAAGTGACATTGTGCAAGAATTAAAAAAAATAATGCTCTCTGATCTCTTCCACTTTTTATTAGTTTGCTAAGGCTGCCATGACAAAATACCACAGACTGAGGGACTGAAATTTATTTTCTCAAAGTTCTTGAGGCTGTAATCCCAAGATCAGTGTGCCAGCAGAGTTGGTTTCTCCTCTGTCTTTGGCTTGCAGATAATCCTCATCACTGTGTCATCAAATAACTTTTTCCTTGATCCCATGCATACCTAACATCCCTTCCTCCTCTTAAAAGAGCATCAGTCATGTTGTATTAGAGCCACATCCTTAAAATTTCATGTAACCCTAATTACTGCTTTTAAAGCCCTATCTCCAAAATAGTCACTTTCTAAAGTAGGGCATTAGGGCATCAATATATGAATTTGGGCGGGGGGACTAAATTCAGTTCCTAACACACTTCAACATTGAATCCACTGAACTGTATGCCTTTAGTATTTTTAATGTGTTAGCCTAAGCTTTGATTGAACGTGTAACCTAGATTGTAACATAGTGAGTTGTTAAGGTCAGAATCTTGATAAAAGAGTTTGAAGATATTCCTAGGAGGAGACATTATAATGGTAAGCTTTTTAATTATTATTATCCATGAAGAATTCCATTCCATTATTTCCTGTCTATTTCTTACAAACCACTCATTAAAGGATCATAATGTTGAGGTTTAGTCCCACGAAAACACTGCTCAGGCCCCAATACCATTTCATTCTTTTCCACCCTTACTCTCTCAGACTCCTAACTGTCTGAACAGTGCACTTTCCCATAGCATTTTGCTCTCAACCACCCGCAAAAGATTGGAAACAACCTGAAAAAGAAACCCTCCAGTTAAGCATTAAATAATAATGCCTCCCTAGACAATAATCTTCCCATTAGCTACTTGTATTTTAATAGAAGACCAGAAAATGAGACTAGATGGCCTTAAAATTAAGCTCTAGTGATAATATTCCTAGATAGATAGGGAAAAAAATACCAAGGAAAAACTAGAGAATCATTTGTGGTACCCCTTGGATCACAACAATTTGGGGTTGACTGTCCCACCCTGGAAGTCAGATCAGGCCCACAAGAAATCAAAATGTGAACACATCATGAGTTCTCAGAAATCGTTGCTGAATCACAATTTAGTAAGTCCTGGCTTAGATGGGGCCACTTGAGTGTCCTAGATTGTCATTTGAAATCACTGGCAACGAACTCCATCCATGCATATAAGATAGAAAATGGAGAGCTTTCAAAATAATGGATTTCTCCACTCTGAAAGGCTGTCAACACAGCAGCCACTTTTTAATTCATCATAGTCTTGTAGCAAGATTACTGAAAATAAAGTCCTGAAATTATTAGCTAGCAAGGGAGGAAGGGTTGGGATTGGTATGTATTTTAATGATTCAGGGATTATTGGCTATTCGTTTTCAACTATTTGTAATTGAAGTCTTGAAATAATGGAATCCATCAGAAGAATGCCTCATTCACCTTTGTATAATTTGAACATACTGAAAAGGAACATGTGGACTCATAAATTTTTCGTGTGCACAGAGGGGTAATATATCACACCAGCTCTCGTTCACACAGTGTGGGGGGAAGGAAGGCATGGAATATGAGTTATCGCCTGCTAGACAGAGCCCCATAACTTCACATCTTACATTGCTAGGAGGCTTTTTATTTAACCTTCAGATCATTTATACTTGCTGGTCATTCATGATAAAAATTACATCAAGAGGTTTTCATCAAGTTGTCTATCAAAATACTCATATGAGTATTTCTGTCAAAGCCACTCTTTTTTAAAATTTTTAGTCGTAGTGGACACAATTCCTTTATTTTATTTATTTATTTTCATGTGGTGCTGAGGATTGAACCCAGAGCTAGGCAAGCGCTCTACCATTCAGCCACCACCCCAGCTGCTCAAAGTCAGTCTTAAGCAAACAGATCATCATCCTGGACTTGGATTAAAAGTCCCTTTTGTCTGTGCAAACTGTATTGAATTAGGCAGATAGTCTCTAATATGCCAGCAAGAAGTGAGAAACATGTTAAAATCAAAAGAAATGGGCTCTTTGTCTGGTAGTCATATGTTTGAAGCAAAGACAGTGTAACTTGCTCTTTCTTGTTGGAACTACACTAAGAAACTTAGTTATTTTTAACTACTGTAGAGTGCAGACATTGTTTTATAAAGACCAACATCTGCTTTAAAGAACCAATTTTCCAGAAATAATTCTGTGTTTTGCTGTGAAAATTATTTTCTTATTCCAAGTCTAAATTTGTGTGCTGTTTGAGATCTCAATCTACTTTAGGAGACGCTACACATTCTGTGAGCCCCATTTCCTAGAATTTTTGGTCTTCAGGGAATGTTTATAAAAATATCACACATGCTATGTTAGTATCAGTTAAACTCTCATGAAAAATATCCATTTTATATGACTTACATCTGGGCTTTACTTCATGTATTTGGATTTCCCATTTTGTCTTCTAGATCCTTTCTACTCAAAGTGTTCTTCAGTATCTCTTGGGATCTCATAAGAATTCAGGTTCTCAGCTCCCAGGCCAAACTCTACCACTGCCCACTACAGAATTCAGAAACTGCCTTTTCACAAAAGCCTTAAGTAATAGCTCTGACTTTAAAGTTTGAGAAGCACTGCTCTGGACCATACAGATAGTAGATGAAATTTTTGAAAGAAACAAGAATTGTTAACAAATCTATACAAGATACTTATGAGGCAAAACAGTAATACTGTACTATCTAAAAATTTTTAGGTTATTAATGTGTTCCTCACAATGATGATACATTGACATCTTTTACATGTATTATCACTTGGACAAAAGTAAATAAATACCTCTTTCTGAGAATGAAGCTGTGAGTTGGTAAATAGGGAAATTTGGAAATACTCTAGTTTGTTACTGTAGCCCAGAAAAGGAGCTAAATCTAGAGTGAATGTATTCAGGATTAAAAATAGGTATAGTTTATATATGTGATGGGTACAGAGAGAAGCAGAGATAACGGAGACAAGAAAGTCTTCCAGATGTCCAGAAATAGATTTATAGTGATGGATTAGCCAACCAGGGGAGAGCTATTTTGAAGTGGCAGGCCAACGTACCAGAAGTATGTAATGAACTCCACTCATTCTCTCACCTTAGAACAAAAGTTTAAAAATTGTGTCGCATGTTTAATTTTTATGTAAATGCACATATAAATAGTTGTATGTTATTCATGTTGATCTGAGTCTTCCCAATGGATAATTCTTATAACCTTAATATTGGTATGGAAGTGTGTCTTTTAAAATGTATAATCATGAATGCTAATGTTTTTATTAAGAAACAAAAGTATAAGAGCCAATGGAGAAGAACACAGTATGTTTGGAAATGAGAAGAACCAGTTTCTAATCTTGATTCTGACCAATGTACACCATAATAACTGATAAGACAAACTAAGACCAATTAATCTGTTAACAGGATTAGTGTTATTGGTATATTTCATAGAACTTCTTTTTTAATAGCACCCAAAACTGAAGCTTGAATGAAGGGCTTCAGAAGACAAAGTTTTCTGAAATTTGGGAACACTGATAATACTTCTACCTGTCCTAGTTTTCAGGGATTCAGAACAGCCTAGTAAAAAAAGTTTCTATACATTCATAGTAGACACTAAACAATTACCATTAATGTTATGGGGAGCCACTTCTTTGTAAATATAAAAGGTAAATTACCTGGAAAGTAAATATTATAGATACTAATATTATAGATATTATAGATAAGAATTGTATTAGCTATCTATTATTCCATAACCTTCACCCCCAAAGCTTAGCAGCTTAAAAACAAAAAAATATTTATTAACTCATAGTTTTGTGGAGGAATCCAAGTTTGGCTTAATGAGCTGCATCTGGTTCAAGGAGTTTCCTGAGGTTACAGTTAAGCTGTGGACTGGGGCTCTGAGCTCATCTGAAGGCTCTGCTGGTGGGGATTGGTGGGGATTCATTCACCTGGTTGTTGGCTGGCTTGGAGCCCTCATCACATGTGCCTTTCCATAGACATGCTTTAGACATGGCAGAAAGCTTTCCACAAGGTAAACAATTCAAGAGAGCTCAAGAGAAAGAGATCCCATAATCAAAACCATGGTCTTTTTAGACCTAATTTTGGAAGCAACATTCCATTCCTTCTGCCATATTCTATTCATCAGAAGCAAGTTAGTAATGCCAGCTCATACTAGAGGGGAAGAAATTACGCAAGGATGTCAAAACTAGCAGAAGAGGTCACTGGAAACGAACTACAGCTGGGATTTTTTTTCCTTTCTATGTGCTGTCATATTTTCTAACATTATGAACTCTGTCCATGCCTTACTCGTATAATAGGGAAACAAAAATATTAAAGACAACAAAACTAAATTAAAGAATGAATTTTTATATCAGAAATGTTGATTATAAAAGTCATTTCTCTTTGGAGCTCTCTTAGTAAGATGATTGAATTGCGTGAACTCAGGATTTATTATTCAACTTCCTGTCCACATATTAGATTATGTCATGAATCAAAGTTGGAGATCATTAATCTAGCAGGGTTTTGTACAGCTTGCAAAATTTTGGCATTGAAAAACTGAAATAGGAAGACCCCCTGATGGTGATATGAATATGTCAATCTTTCTCGATTGTCTAACACTCTACTTCTTGCTCTATTCTGGATAGTATGCTTGAGAGTTCAAACCGGCTTGATGAAGAGCACAGGCTGATCGCCAGGTATGCAGCAAGACTGGCAGCAGAATCCTCCTCGTCTGTAAGTAGTTTGAGTGAAAGGATTCATCTGTTGGCATCTGAGATCCTTGAATTTCACATGCCATATCCATTGTTATCATTATAGTTGATACTAATTACCAACAAAATAGTACTAATTTATTGATTCATGTGTCTGTTGTTACTTTTATGGCTTCTTGGTAGTAGTGAATTCCCAGTTTTAGAATGGCAGACTTGAAGAACAAAATATCTACAGTAATGTGCCAATATGGTCAAACTAGAAGCCCATCCGACCCCCTTTACCTAGTCCTGTCCCCCATATGAGCACACAAAGAAAAGAGTAAGGACTGGTTATGATTCTTCAATGAATTTAAAGCAAGTATGTTTAGCAAAGATACTAGGTTAAAGGCAGAATAGTTGCAAGTGACACTTGAAATACACCAGTAGAGGAAATAGGGCTCAAATCTTTCTCCATATGCTTTCATCTCTAAAGCAAAAGCAATAATTTAACACTGTTATTTGAAATTCATCTATGCTGAACTGAGAATGAGCTGCTATTGATGCATTGCAAAAAACAATGAGTGGCAGGATATTAAAGTGAGGAATCTGCTACTTGCCCCTCTCACAAGGGATGTTGCCATTATCAGAGTCCTTCATGCTGAGCAGTTAAATAATAATCCCAAATGGAAACCATGACCCATTGCATTAGCCCTGGAACTTGCTCTCTGTAATACCAGCAACTGTAATATTGTTAGAAATTACCATGATCTACATGGTAAAGGATGCAGGCCGGCTGAAAGTGCACTATGACCCAAAAATGGGACATGGTAAAGCAGAGATACTATTGGACTTTGTGAAATCTTAAATGCTATAAATAAAAAACAATTGTGCTCAAGAAAATTAAAGTCAACTGAAAGAATGGGAGAACTATATTTTAGGACAAGTAACCCTGTTAGGGGGATTTACTCAAAAAGAAAGGAAAAACACGATTTCTGTCAAGACCTATTTTCCAAGTTTTCTGGCCCTTGTTCATGCATAAATCTCTGTGGACAGAAGGTGTGGGGCAGTAAGACGTGGACTTAGCAGTATGGGCTTGTGCGTCTGAGTCCCAGCATTCCATGACCTCATGCAAGGCACCACTTCTTTGAACTCAGTTTCCTCATTTATAAATAGGTATAACTATAATTATATATATATATATAGTTTGAGTGAAAGGATTCATCTGTTGGCATTTGGGATCCTTGAATTTCACATGCCATGTCCATTATTATCATTACAGTTGATGCTAATTACCAAGAAAATAGTACTAATTTATTGATTCATGTGTCTGTTGTTACATTTATGGCTTCTTGGTAGTAGTGAATTCCCAGTTTTAGAATGGCAGACTTGAAAAAAAAAAAAAATATATATATCAGTGCTACATGTAATTAGGGTCAAATGAGATAATAAACTATGAACATGGCACATAAGCTATTCATCACAAAAAATACAGTCTATGTCTAAATTTTCCCCACAGAAGTGTTTTATATGGCCCCCACGGTGTTTTCAATTCTTTACTAGCTGTCAGCATTAACAAGTCAGATGGTTAACCTTAAAACTCTGAATTTTCAGTTTATCTTGAAAGACTAACAAGACCAGGTCCATGTTGCTCATAGCAGCAGGTACCTGGAGTAGGAACATTCCTTTTCTTGCTTACTCTGGACAGGGAAGGCATTCACCATTTTGCCACAACCCCCACCCCTAGTCTCTTTCTTTCATTTACTTTACCTCCCTGGCCCCACTCAACATTTGAATTAGTGATTCCTGGTGAAGTGTTAACTCTCTGTGTGCATGTGATCATTTAGATGGCACTAACTTCTCCCGTCTGTTTCTTTCCTTTCTTAAGAACATTGGTTATTTTTGTTGTCCACCTACTTATATCATATACAACCTTTGTGGATCCATCACAGGAATGATAACATTCTCACAATCATTTGTGTTTTTTTGTCAATCTTCTCATAATGATATGTCAAGAATGCTATGATTAACTAAATAAATCATCATTAGCAAGATATCTCCACGTTAGAATGGAGATAGAAAGGTCATTACTTGGGTCCATTTTTGCGTCTTCCCTATGGAAAACCCCACATCTTTTTCTCACTGTGCTCTTCTATTCAGTCACTAGATTTCCTACAGCACTCTGCCTTTCCACTCCTCACCACTTCATACCCTGTGGTCTATCCATTTCCAAATACACCATGCAGAAACCTAGAGTTCACCCATCCAGCAGATGACCCCTCTACCCACTTAATAGGTCGACTCAGTGTCATCTCTTAATATTCCCTTCCTGGTTACCTTAATGATGTAGTCATGTTTCCTCTATGCTTCTATTGAGTCTTGTGCTACTTTAACCATAGTAGTAATCATAGCAGTTATATTTGTCCGTGCTTTGAGAATAAGAAACATCTTAATATAGGACATCAGCCACAATATGTGCTCATAATAGATGTTGAATTTAAAAATATGTTGAATGGAAAAATGAATGAGTCAGTATATTTGAGGCAACTTAAAATTTAAGAAAATTTTATCCAAATGAGAAGAGTAGGATGTCCTCAAATTCAAAACTTGAGTCTGAAGGGCATCCAACAAGATAGTAAAATAACATGTGAACTTTAATTAATCAAATTATTTAATAGAATATGGCTAACCAATAAGCTAGACCTGATATTTGAAAAAATATTATATATATATATATATATATATATATATATATATATATATACACACACACACACACACACACAGAGTCTATGTTATGAAAATGTAGTAGACTTTAAAAGCCACATAAGGATATAACTTTGGATTTCTTGAAGGTCACATATTGAGACATGACTACATAAAATTAGCTGGTTTGGGTGCCTTATGGTGCCCAAAAATGGTGCCAGAAGGTGGTAAGATCAGAAATTTGCATACCAAATTTCAAAAGTGGTGATCTTATCTTTTATGACTAATATTCTAAAAATCTGGTTTTTTCTCTCTTTCTCTTTCTCTGTCTTTATCTCTATCTCTCTCTATTCCATCAATTAAAGAGGCTAAAAATAATTACACATTTAAAGTATGCCAACACAGTAAAAATTAATAAATATCTCCCTTCTTTTGATTTCTCCCTACATCTCTACCTTTTGCTTCCCTTTAGTCTGCCTATATTTGTTTTTTCTCCTCCAATTCAAATCTCTCATTGTCTTCTTCTTTCTTATTTTTTTTCCTCAAAAGGCCTAATTATATAGAACTGACCTGCCATATATTATTTCTTATATTTCTTGACTTTAAATTCTTAGTCCTAATTTTTTAAATCAAGTAAGTTAGATGCTATACATTTTATAGCTTGGTATTGTTTTCCCCCTCTGTTGATTACTATTGATTGATTGCAAATAAGTTAAGAGACTTCTTAACTCTTGAGGAATAAACAAACTACTTATAGCCAAATTCAGCCCATTTTTGTACATGAGCTAAAAATAATCTTTAATATTTAATTGGTGGGAAAGGGAGAAGAGTCATATTTTGTAACAAGTGAAAATTACATGAAATTTAATTTTAATGTCCACTAGTAAAAATTTTATCAGAATACCTCCATCTCACTTTTTTACATATTATCTATGGCTATTTACATACTGTAGCAGCTTAAATAGTGACTACTTTATGGTCTCTTCCATTTTTTCACTTTTCAGTTAACAATCTAGTATAGCAAAAATCATAGCTTGAGATATTATGGTTATAACATTGCTAGGCCCACTTAACACCTCCTTCATCTAGATGATTCCTGATCCATTAATATAAATAGCAAACCAATTACTGAAATCCATAACTTGCTCAAATAAATTTCTTTTATCAATGCATAAAATATATAGAAGAAAGAGAGGCTTAATATGGCAAAATCACAAGGAAAACCTGGATCATAGATAAAAAATGTCACATGTCAAACTTAACTATCAAAAGCCAATTAGGATACAGAACACAGAACCTCAGAATTTTTCATTAGCAACACAGATTTTTTTCCTTATTAAAAGGAAATGAAAAATAAAAATCATAGGAGAATTTTAGGAAAGCCAGACTTTTACTATTCTGAACCTTTCCTACAGTTAGGTTTATGGACATTAAAAAGTAGGCTGCACTTTTCTATGTCTTCCAATTTAGGCAGCAAGTGCCATTTTTAAAAGCTTCACATTATTTGGTAGAAAAATTATTTATGATTTTTAAAAGCAATGAAAATTGGCTTGGAGGAATTTCTATAATGTACTGTGGAACAAAGAAAGCAAGACTAGTACCTAGTCTGACCCCCTTTTTAAATAAAATAATCCCAAATAAACCCTTGAATGAATACAGATACACATATACAGACATACATAAAATATTATATGATAGAATTTATGATACGTATCATATGAGATTGAAGAAATCTGTGATTGCATACATATCAGTTATTAAAGTTGGTTGCACGATTGAGAATAATGGGCTGCTGTGGGATGAAGGTAGAAGAAGCTAATATATATACGAATCCATAGATGTAACGTTACATGGATGAATAAAGACATACATGAAAGCATCTTGACCAAAAGAAGAAAAAAAGAAATTAACTGTTTTCAAAACTGAAATTTTTGTTAGAATTCTATTTTTAGTTTTGTAAATAGTTTTATTTATTTAATCATTGTATTTTATCGTATCTTTTCTGATGTTGGGTCTTGCACACACTAAGCAAGTGCTTTCCTACTGATCTACATCCTTAGCCCAAATACTTTTATTTGTAATTGATACATATTTGTACATATCTATGGCATGCAGTGTGATGTAGATACATGTAATATGTGTAGATATATATGTAATCATCAGATCAGAGTAATTAGCATATCCATCATCTCAACTATTTATCATTTCTTTGTGTTAGGAACATTCAAAATCCTCTCTTCTAGTTATTTTGAAATCTACAATAAGAATGATTGAGCAATCGTTCTACAGAAAGAGTTACCTCAACAGTAACATTTTTTAACCCACCTATATTGACAGAATAATTGCCATGGGAACACATGGCAAGAATGAAATAGCTTCCAAAAGACTTCAAATCAGAAAACAGAAAAACAAATTTTTCCTGTTTTGTTTATTTGCCTGCCAACATATTATGTTTTGTTTTCCACTGCATAGATATGTTCTAGAGCTGCAGAAAAGTTGGTTCTTAGGAAAGGAATAGCAATTTCATTTTATGTTTTGTCCTTTATTGTGATAGAAATAGTTTCCCCTTCCTTGTCTGCCTATCTCATGCACCCTATGTTCCCAAACACATGTGGGTTCACATTCCCAGTAATAAATCATGTGAACTACATATTTTACAGCAGCCAACTCAGCAGAGAAGTGCTCCTGACATCTCCTTCACCATTGATGCAAATAAGCAACAAAGGCAGCTGATTGCAGAACTAGAAAACAAGAACAGGTAAGGCTTAACAGACATGCTGGCTTTTTTGATCAATCTGTGCATTCATTAATAACCTATAGCCTGTAATTTCACACTGTATGCATATTTAAGGGAGGACATCTTGAGTCAGTGATGTTGGCTTCTGAAAAGCTGAGTCTTTATATCTTCAGATCTACAGAAATTTCATGAGAAAACTCTGTGTGTGTGTGTGTGTGTGTTCTGAGATGGCAAAAAAAAATTAATGCTGTACTTCTAGACACTCTTATTTCCTTTCTCTGACACATCTGTTTTTGTTAACAAGCTACATGAAGTAGGGCCCTCCTGGGTACTATGCAAAGTTTATCCCTCTCACCCAGAGACACGGAGGAGGCTCACCAAAGAGGCTTCCTGTAAGGATCCAGACTAAAGGTGCACTTGGAATGATACCATCATCCCCCAGTTTTTCATGCCAAACATCTCCATGTCCCCTCCATCAGCAGGTGCTTTCTCTATTCAATACAGATTGGTTCAATTGATTTTGTCTCCACAGCATATCCTGAAAACTGTCCTCTTCATCTCCATCACCAACACCCAATCCAATCTGCCTTTTTTTAACACATAAATCAGATCATGTTATTATTCCCATGTTGAAACCTCTGAAGATTTTCCATTACAATTTGATTCAAACCAACTTCTTTCACCATGGGTTTTAAGGTCCTACCCCACCTGGCTCCTGCCTGCCTTACCACTATAAGATCCCACTGCCCATCACACTCCATATTTGAGCAGCTTCTTCCTTTGCTCTAGTAGTTCTTTTAACCCAGAAAGCTCTGCCTGTGGGTCTCTGTAGGATGGTTCCTTCCAGTCATCCAGGACTCTGTTCAAGTGCTACCTCCTAAAAACCATCTGTCTAGTCTTGCCCACTACTTCCTACCCCAGTGACAATTTCTATTAAATCTCGTTTAATAGAAATGTGCGTGTGTGTGTGTGTGTGTGTGTGTGTGAGAGAGAGAGAGAGAGAGAGAGAGAGACTTACCGCTATCTGAAATAATCTTATTTAGGAGTTTGCTTCCTTGCTTGTTTTCTGACTTCCTTCACTGAAATGGAAGTTCTTTGAGAACAGAATCCCCTGGGGCTCAGAACCATTCCTGGCACATTGCAGATGCTTAGGAGTACCCTGAATGAAAAAATAATGAATAGTTGAATCAGCTCTCAAACTCAGTGCTAAGTAAGCCCAGAACAGGAACTGTGCATATATTCCATATTTCTTGAAATGACATTACAATATTTAAACATGTAATCCCATTCTGAAACACTGATATCATTTTTGAGGTTATGGGGTAAAGGAGGAGGATATGATGATGACTTCATACCTATAGAGGTTTACCTGAGAATTTTGCAGTAAGTGCATTTACTTCAAAAGCATTCTTTGAAGTTCTATAGATAAAAATTTAAAGAAAAGTGCCAACTGTTGGCACATTTTCATATTTTTTATAGCAAAACCATTTTTTGCTTAATTGTCCCAGGACCGATCTCTCACCATTAGGAGACTACTAATTAGAATGGAAATAGTCCCATAAATGTGACACCAGGACTTTATAGCCTTTGAAATTATTGCTCTATGCTGACCTCCCAAAGAGATGTGCCCTATGTGATCCCTCTCAACTTCCCAAGTAATAGGAGGCAAAATTTTTAAAGGGAAAAAACGAAAGCATGGTGAAGAGTTAGGAAAAAATTGCCCATATAAATTGAAATTTGTTCAGGATAGTTGCAAGTCTGTGAAACTGTTTGTTTTATTTTGTATTCCCTCTATTATATCTACTATGTGAAAATAATTGTCCTAAGTCAGAAAAAGCATTTGAGAGAAGGAAGTGATTTCAAATGAGCCAAGGCACTTAATATCCAGTATGAGAAACAATGCAAAGAAAGGAAAGGGCAGGTAGGTGGAGGCGAAGGTCAAATGGGAGCAGGGAGGCATTGTAGAAAGCATGTGAACTGCCAGCCAGAGGGTTCAGAACCAACAATATAAAAGATCTGCTGTGCCACCCAGGTCCCTGGAATGGTTGTGTGAGTGTTGATGGTGATGGGGAGTAGAGGCCATGTTCAGATGTTGTCTCGATGCCTTACACCAATTTGGGCACCAAAAAGGGTACAGAAAAAGAAAAATGGACCAGTTTTTAATTCTTGACTTAATCCAAAATTTCAACTCCTTTAGGAAAAATAAACCTTTGCAAATATTAGAATTGAAATGCAAAGTGTTTTTTTTTCTTTTTACTCAACAAAGTAAACCTATAACATGTGACATGAAAGGTTTTTCCAAATTAGAATAATAGGCTTCGGTACATCAGTGAGTGCCTCATAATAAAGTCAACAGAGAGAGCAAAAGAAAAAGCAGGATAGGAGGGACCCATCGATGGACTCATCTGGAATTGGAAGGCCAAGACGCTTGAGGCCTGGTTCTAGAGAAGTAGAGACCACTTTCTAGAGAAGGGTTTGGCTTTCTAGATGGTCCTTTTATTCAGTTTCTAACAGGCATCATGCCTTACCCACTTCTCCAACCCTTAGACCCTTTTCTCTAAAACTTGCTATGTCTGCTAACCAGCAAGGTGCCATTGAGTGGGGGAAGGTGCAAAGCTGGGATTGATAACATCCAACCATAGATGCCAGGTGGCAGAAATAAGAAACCTGGGTCTTTGTTTCAAGGTGTTGAAAAGAGATCAGTGACAATCTTATATATTTACAGAACATATATATACAACTATTGTTTCATTTCATACTCAGAAGAGAACTTTGAGGTGGACAGGATGACTATTATCATTCCCATGGTACGAATTAAAATTAAAAAGTGAAGTGTCACTTGTGCTCTTTTTTCCCAGTGATGGTGATCCACTTCACCACCACTGTGGTCTAGGTAGGTGGGGTAAACTTTGTGGAAAAGATGGGGTTTTAGTTGCACATATAAAAATAGTGAAATCTGGCAGTGCAAGATGGAAGATAGATATACTAGTAAAAATACCCATAAAGTCTGAGAAAAGTGCTGAAGATACTTGTCAGGCTAGCACCAAGAGGTAGAGATGAATAGTAAAATGGAAACATTAATATACAAATCTTGTAGATCAGGCCAGAGAATCTGAATTTTATAATGTCATGATGGAAAGCATCGGTCAGGACATATTGCATTTACAAGAAGTTAGCTAGAAACTGAAAGGGAGGAAGACATACTTTAAGTAGGTGATGCTGAGATAGGATTAATGGAACCACACCAGGAGGTGGTTAGAAAAAAGAAATACTGTGGAATGTTTCTTTATGAGATTCTTCAGTGTTCACTTCTAAACTTTCTATCAGAAATTTTGCAAAGTTAATCATCTTCATACCACCCAGATTTCTTTTTCTGATTCCACCCCACACACACACACACACATACAAAAAACACTTTTTGTTGTAATATGAAGAGGAAAGTCCGAGTTTGGATCTCTGAATAGGAGATACAGTGTCAAGATTAAAGAGCTGTTTGTGCAATATCAGGAGGAACAGATCAAACCTGGCCTGAGTTTCCACAAGGGTCAACTTCACTTTTTCCCCTCTTCCTAGAAAGAAAAGACTAGTAACATTCACCAGTCCATGAAATATCTCATCTTGGTTGCACATGCTCTTCCACCTCTCCAGAGAGTTTTGTTTTCCCACTCAGTCCTCTGCTCCCACTGGGCCATGGGTGTAGATCATTTAAGGGGGAATAGGGACTTACTTCCTTTGAGGAAAGACCCCAGTGATATCTGCCTTCAGGTGAATTTATTTCTGTTTCCAAAAAATACCATGAATATTCTAACCACCATGGCTTTACTGCACTCTCTGCATATATGTTTCTAGGACCAGAGAGAAAAAAAGAAGTCAGAATGAGAAGGATAGTAGAAAGAGAACTTCATCCTGTGCCTGAGTTTTTTCATGATTCCTAGAGTTTCCAGTTTATCCCTGAGGAGTAGCTGCTAGTCCATTCTGCACTCGTATCTCTAAACCAGCAGCCTTATGCTCTGCAAAGACTCCAGGGCCCTGTTCCAGAGGATTATCCAGGTCACACTCCTGCACCATAGAAATTCACTCCAGGTCCCATGGTCACCACAGTGACCGTGAACCCAATAATCAGACAGACCTCTGAACTTAAGAGGAGGATAGTTTCTCATTTTGCTTCATGACTGTGTTTACCCTAACTAATTCATGAACAGGTGCCATAGCTTTCCATCACTATGACAAGACACCTGAGAGAATTAACTTCAAAGGAGGAAATGCTTATTTTAGCTCATGGTTTCAGAGGTTTTCGTCGTTGGTTGGCTCCATTGCTGCTGGGTCTGTGGCAAGGCAGTACATGATGGAAGTGCATGGTGGAGGAACTGAGTTCACATCATGGCAGCCAGGAGGCAGAGAGAGGAAGGAGCAGACCCAAATGAAGGCAAATATCCTGGGATTATTTCCACAACGGAAGTCCCAGTTCCCCCTCAAATGTCCTATCCCCATGCCCCAGTGGAAGCAGAGGATTGGGAGGAGGAAACAAAGTGCTATGGAGAGGTGAAAGAGCATATTAACACTGCAGCCAAGATGAGATATTTAATGGAGCTTATCAATTTTTACCTTCTTCAAGGGTACACCCCCAGTGACCTTCCTTCCTTCCCTCAGGTCCCACTTCCTAAAGGCTCTGCCACCTCCCAATAGTGCCACAGATTAGTGACCAAGCTTCTAACACATGGGCCTTTGGGAGCACTCTAGATCCAAACTACAGCACCCTGTCAGCCACAATCATTCGAGGGTGATGTTTCCTTATAGGACCCTGGGAAAAGCCGACTCTTCAGAGCCTACCTAGAATAGACCAGTCAAAGCAAGTGCCAGAAACAGAAGCAGTCTGAAGTACAGCATTTGAAGCTAGCCGGCCTGAGCTCAAATCGCCTCCAACACCTGCTTGTTCTTACACTCAAACAAATCTTTTAACTGCACTATTCCTTGATTTTCCCATCCGTGAAACAGAGATAATAATAGTATCTAAATGTCATAGAACTGTTATCGGGTGAAATAAGATTACAGAAGATTGCACAGTTCTACCAATGCAGGTTATGTATTGTTTCATTATATTTTTTTCCTTGCCAGAACTCTGTAGTTGAACCACTGAGTTACAATCCAGCCTTTTCTGCACACCCATGAAAGGTGTAATGGCTCCTGTTAATTAGCCTCCTGGTCCCACCGTGTTTAGGAAATAGAAATACATCTTCCCTTCCAATGGAAAATCATGGAGCTTCTCTCTTTTGGTTATTTTGAGAAATAATAAATTATAAACTATAGTCACCTCCTGTGCTATAGAACACTAGAACTTATCCCTTACTAACTAAATTTTGGTACCTGTTATCCAACCAAGAGGAGTTTGAAGGTTCCCAATACAAAAAAGAAAAAGAAAGAAAGAAATGCTAGTTACCCTGATTTGATCACACACACACATAAAATTATCACATCATAACCCATATAGATGCACAATTACTGTGTCATTTAAAATTATTTTCACAATGGAATGCCATCCCCCTGGCTCACCAAGTTTACCTTCCATTCTCAATCTTTGTTCTGTCTTACTGTGACTTGTGCATTTTGATAAGAAGGAGACTGACACCCCTAGTCCCCAAGAATATGTGACTTGTAACCTTGCTTAATGGCTTCTGATTCACTTAGAGATAATTGGCTTTGTTCTGGGCGCATATCATTTATGGCCAGCTTAATGTTCAACCAAAAGCAGGGCAGCCCAGGCCTCAACATCAATAACAGGCTGACATGTCTCACCTCCTTACAGAGGTCACACCAATAGCACTCTATGTCACAGACTCAATTACATGAATCCTTTTAAAAGCATTTTCCTTCTCAGGCTGCCCTCATTGAGACCAGTTGTTAAAGCTGAAAATGTTAAGAAAAAAAAGAGAATGTTGCCTAACTCAGGGCATCTCAGAAAAATTTGGTGAGAAGAATGTTATTCTTAGTGAGAGAATGAGGTTATTTAGTTTTGTGCAATGAGCACCATTTATCCTTCTTTTCCCTCCAAGCACCTCTTACTTGATAGCTGTGTACTTTATGGTGTCAGAGTGTGATCATAAATAATAGGAAGATACATTTTTGTCTCTTAAGCAGGGCACTCATCAAAGTTGGACACATTACCACAGCACTACATGACTTCCTGGAGAGATGATTAGGTCCTGGTGATAACACTCCGTGACAGCCTGCAGAGCCTTCATGGTTTGACATGCCACATGGAGATGAAAGCAGCCCTCCCCTCACCCACAGCACCCACACGGCTACACCAAGGCCTCCTAAACATACACAGTCTGTTGATTAGTAAGAGTCGGTTCTGCTCCCAAACAGGATGATCCCTTTGCTCTGTGTTCTGGTAGATCACTCTGCTCAGAGGCTGGTGTCCCAGAAGTTAACTGACCCTGGTTTCTCACCTTCTCCTCTTTCCCAAGAGAAATCTTACAGGAGATCCAGAGGCTGCGACTAGAACACGAGCAAGCTTCTCAGCCCACACCAGAGAAGGCGCAGCAAAACCCCACCCTGCTGGCAGAGCTCCGGCTCCTCAGGTAAGGCAGTGCCCCAGTCACCGCAGGGCATACGAATGTTCGAGATTCGGAATATGGCCTAACAGTGTCTAGCCGGGAAATGGCCCTGAGCCACTATAACCGCCAATATTTCTTTCTTTCTTTCTTTCTCTTTCTTCTTCTTTCTCTCTCTCTTTCTTTCTTTCTCTCTTTCTTTCTTTTTGTTGTTGTTGTTATTATTATTATTATTATTTTTACTGGGGATTGAACCCAGGGGCATTTTACCACTGAAATACATCCTCACCCCTTTTTTATTTTATTCTGAGAGAGGATCTTGCTAAATTGTTGAGGTTGACCTTGAACTTTTAATCTTCCTGCCTGAGCAAGTTGCTGGAATTGAGCAAGTTGTGGAATATGCATGCCACAACACCCAGATGTTTGGTTTTTAATAGGATAGACCTAATTGCTGATATTTGGGCAATTTGGAAAGAAGTTTATGTTATTCTTTTTGTTTATTTGTTATTTTTAGATATACATGATAGTAGGGTATATTTTGATATATTATACATACATGGAGTGCAACCCCTTACAATTTTGATCCCATTCCCATTTTTGTGGCTGAACATGATGTGGAATTACACTGGTCATGTATTCACATATGAGCATAGGAAAGTTATGTCCAATTAATTCTACTGTATTTCCTATTCCCATCCCCTTACCCTTCCCTTCATTTCCCTTTGTCTACTCCAATGAACTTCTCTACTTTCCCTCCCTACCCTCCCTTGTTATGGGTTAGGATCCACATATCAGAGAGAATATTCGACCTTTGGTTTTTTGGGGACTGACTTATTTCACTTTGCATGATATTCTCCACTTCCACCATCAATTTACTGGCAAATGCCATAATATCATTCTTCTTTATAGCTGAGTAATATTTCATTGGGTTTATATACCACATTTTTTTATCCATTCATCTGTTGAAGGGCATCTAGGTTGGTTCCAAAGCTTGGCTATTGTGAATTGCTGTTATTCTTTTAGTAGATACAAATAAAGGAAATAATCCATTAGATCAGAAAGAAAAATCTCACTGGGAAAAAAATTTTAACTCAGCTTTTTTAGTTGTTTGTATTATTAACAGCATGTTGATGTTACAAATTTTTCACAAAACAAACACATCAACAGCTGCATAAACATCACAGATTTCTAAATTTGAAATTTTACGTGTAATTCATAAAAGGCAACCATTTGTCTAAATCATGATCCCTGATAGCTTTACATACAGATTTCAAAAATTAGTCATCATACCTTCTTATTCTGCAAATGAATGAAAAAGCTTTGTCTTGTCTGTCATAATAGAATATGTGGGTTGAAAGGGACCTGGAGAGCCATCTGACTCAACCCCTGAGTTTCAGCACATTCTCAGAATCAGCTGAGAGTAGATGGCCTTAGATTAGGGCCAGAGTTGCCCCCATTTACTCCCACAGTGTTAAATACAAGCCTCAGTGTGGATGCCCCTTCTCCACCTCATCAGACCGGCTGAGCACTATGCCTTGAATATGGCAGCTACTCAAATGAATCTGTGTATGAAACAACACAAGCATAAATTCAAAGGCATTCCCTCTCAGAAATGGCATCTTGAGCTTTCACAAGACACTTTTAATTAGCAAGAATTACCTTTTTTTATCCTTCTGTAGGGTGCCAAGTACATTCCAGGTATATATCTATAACTCTGAAACAGACGTTTTATAGTAAATATAGATGCCTCTTCTCAGAAACCCTTATCAGAACTAGTGCTATTTTCTTCCTCCCTACAAAGAAACTGAATGAAGCAGGTTCTGTGTGACTGTGTTTGGATTTTACCAAATCCTTATTGATTACAGTCGTGGATGTTTCTGGGGTTTCCATCCCAACCCTGCTTTTCAGAGGTGATACCATGAGCACCTTCTCTTCTGCTGGGATCCACTGTGCCTCTCCCAAGCCCGTGACTGGAGCAGATCCTGTAAAGGCTTCTCTTGTGGGAAAGACATCTGCAGAACCTGCAGCTTATGGAGCTGTTCAATGGGGAGAGATCACTTCATACTTTTGGGTAACAAATTAATTTAACAAAAGAAACAGGAATTCTTCCTTCTCAGCCTGTATGCTTTCTGCCCTGCCCTCAATGCCATGTACTAGACATTCCTACACATTCTACTACACTTTACCTAGAAGAGGTGGAAATGAAAAGAAGGAAAAAGTGATGTTTTATATCATCTTCACTAAAGGCATTTAAAAGTGAGTCCCTATTAACTCTCCATTGTCAAATAAGGTCATGGAGGTCCTCCACACTCACAAGTTGGAAGTTAAATCTAATATACACAGAAAGAGAACCAAAAAAACCCCAGGTGGAAATAGAGTAGTCATTCTTCTTCCAGGGTCAGTGTAGTCTCTGCCTGAATTTTTTTTTAATCTTTTCCATTGTGCATCCTATGCTCCATGGGAGATGACTAAAAATTTTTCATAAGCAGTTTCATTGGTTGCCTCATCTAGCCTTTGTTTCTGAAAGTATTCCATTTCATATGAGAGAGAGTCCAGGAAGTCATCTGAAGAGACTTGTGTCTATTTTCTGATATTTCTTCCCTCCTTAATGGGTCATCTTGGAATAGACTGATAAATCTGACCACCCTCCTGGCCCTGACTTGTGGGCATCCTGTGACTCCAGCTGAGCCCAAGGCTGCACTAAGGAGTCTGGATTTGCCGTGAACTTCTGTGCCATTGGCCTTCCTGTCATCTGAAAAGCCAGCTGTCTTGCTTCCCCTGCCTCCACATTCTACACACTTCTTCTACCTGAAGGAAGAAGTAGCCTCCCTTGAAGGCTGTGTCTCTAGATGCTTATAAACTACCTACTCTGTGCTGAACATTTTCACAATTTAAGGATTTCACAGATGCCCCGACACCCCAGATTAAGAAACCCTGTTCTGGTTATCCTTTTATCCTTGTGTCATTTCAGACTTTCAAAGAGCTCCAAAAGAGTGGCCTCTTGCAAAGTTCCCTTGGCCTTGGCTCCCACTGAGAGGTGGCAGTGTGAGGCAGCCACAGGAACTCCTTACTGTAGCTGCCATAGAGGGCCCCTCCACTACATCCTTCCTGAACCTCTTACCAAGAAACCAACTGGAGAAATGTCTTGCAGCTGGGGACAGGGGAGAGGGAGAGAGGAGTGGAGCCTTGCTTCTCATGAATGAATAGTTTTATTTTTATCTTAAAATCTCTGACTTTCTAAATGATCATGTTTCCCTTTTTACTTTGACCACAAGGAAACTGAATGCCACATTTCTAGCCCAGATGTGGTTCTATAACAGACATTTCTATTTGCTAGTGTGACATGTATGATGTGCTAAGCTCTCCATGCACTGTTCCATATCATTGCCATAACAAAGCTGGGAGATAGACAATATTATTACACTCCTTTTACAAATAAGGGAACTGAAATTCACAGATGTTAAATAAAAGTTGCAGATATCAGATATCATACCTCTTCTTTTTTTTAGAGAGAGAGAGAATTTTTTAATATTTATTTTTTAGTTTTTGGTGGACACAACATCTTTATTATTTTTTTTTTCTTATGTGGTGCTAAGGATGGAACCCAGTGCCCCACACATGTCAGGCGGGCACGCTACCGCTTGAGCCACATCCCCAGCCCATCATACCTCTTTATTCCTCAGTGTGTGTGTGTTTTCTAAGAAAAAAATTATATAATCACATTACTATCCTCAAATACAGGAAGTTTAGTATGAATATATATTATTGTCTGACAGAATTTCAGGGTGGGAAAAAAGGCATTCTTTTAAAGAAGAATACATTTAGCTGTAGGAAAATAAAATCATTTTTTCATCTTTATTTTCTCATACCTCCTTGGAATGGTGAAGGCTACATTGCAGATTTGTTATTGGATTCACAATTGGTAACCACTGATGTAAACTCTTACAGAGAAGATTGAGAAAAGGCATTATGAAATGATTTTAATTGAATTAAATGCCATATTTTAAAAGATAAGTACTGTAAAATAAATGTACAATGAGATTATTTTAATGTTGACTGATTATAAGTTAATGCACATCAACTTTTTATAATAGAGCCTAGTGCCTCCCTTAGTATTTCTTCCCTACAATGTTAGGATTTTGCCTGGACCTTCTCAAGGTGTTCTTGTGGCAAATGGGCAAAAAATTATAAAGTAGTCTTAAGACGAAAACTGGAAATAAATCAGAAACACTACCTACTCGTGTCCGAAGTCTTTTGTGAGTGTATCTGGAACACCATGAGCACACAAGGTCAAGGAAAAACAGTCAATGACTTTGCCGTTTAAGAATATTTTTGAATGGGGCAAGACTTACAAAATTAGAATGCTTCAGCCCAAGGAGACAGGCTAAAATAAGAAACCACTAAAGTCTACAAAATTATGATGTTCCTGAACCTCTGGATTCAGAAAAGAGACAACTATAAAGGAAATTAAAGGAAGAAGCACTTCATGAGTAAGCCATGAGTAGCAAGAAAAGCTAAAAATAAAAATATATTCAGAAAGGATTGAGAATTTTATAAATTTTAAATTTATAATTTATTGTAGAAAAAGCCTATATGAAAGCAAATAAGAAATGTCTCATTTATACCTCTAACCTGTCTTCCTATAAATATATTTCAACTGAATGAGTCACAGACCTAACTCATGGTGACATTTTTATATTGTCAGTTTTTATTTCAAGGTCCCTGTGATAGCTCTACTTAATATGGTATCTGTGCCATTGAGACAGCCATGTTCATTCACACAGTAAAACATACATGGTTAAGGCATCCACACATTTTTAGAATATAAGCTCTAATATTTAAAATTCAAACAGAAGTCTTCGGGGCAAGGAAAAAGTATATATGTTACTTACTCAATGACCTTGAAATAATGGACTCAAAAGTTGGTTCAGAAAGCATACATAGCCTTCAGAAATGTGAACCATTAATATTTTTCTCCTTACTGTTTCATTTCTTTCCCCTGTTAAAGATATTTTTGGTGCTTCTTCGTGTCAACATAAATGGGAGAGTGTAGGTTGTCCTTAGTGGTTTACATTATTGCTGACAGTTTAATACAAGTCCAGAAAAACAAAACAAAATTAAACACATCTCATATATCTTTTTCAGTTGTAGAACAATTATGTAGGAACTACTTTATTCTGACTTGAGTTTATCAAATCAAACTTAAACCAAGTAGATTGATTATAATAAGTATGCTCAATTAATATTTCACCTCTGAAGGGTACCATGTTACATACTGAGGATGGAACAGATTTTAAAAGTACATTTATAAATCAGATTTCCAAATACTGAGGTAATCCATATTTTCTGTGAATTTACAAAAGGTACCTTGGTTTGGAGAATCTGTAGGATTGGTCCTTTTCAGTGACAATTTGGTATTTGGGTTTTGTTGTTACTGTTGTTATTTTGTCAAGAGAAGGCAATGGCACAGAATGGGACCTGCTCTATCGTAAGCATTTTTAAAATATTTCATTAAATGATTATTTAATATTTCATTAAATGTCTCATGTTAAGTTCTCTATAATTTTGTATGACTTTAACAAATAAAAGTACACCTCAAACTGCAATTGTTCATTCATTTGAAGACAGTTACCTGCCTGATAACCATATCAGAGAACCAGCAATGCTGTTTTCTGATAGTCTACCGGTCCCACAAAATTGGGAAATGTGATTAGCTCAGTGAATTGAATGCTATTTCTAATGACAATTGCTTCTTTCTCAGACAACGCAAGGATGAGCTGGAACAGAGAATGTCTGCTCTCCAGGAGAGCCGAAGAGAGTTAATGGTCCAATTGGAAGGTCTCATGAAGCTACTAAAGGTAAGACATTTCAATAAATGTTTCCAAGAACTATTACAATTTGTGTTACTGCATTTGTAAGTTTTTTGTACATAATGTACAATTTTCAATTTGCTTTACCATTTCCTACATGTGATTTTCCCCCAAATGTTGTTACAAACTCAGATAAGGAACTATTTCTTAGACCCTTGCAACAATAGTAGTCAATTTTATAGAGCTCATTCTCACCTTTTCCTGGACCCAGGACCTTTATGGGCAACTTTTTCTTGGCTTATTTCTAGTTCCTTTATGTCCTTGAAAGTAATAAAATGGGATTCATTTAGAAATATTTTATATTTGATCACTTTCAGCAGTTCTGACCAAATTGAACAAAGGCTAATGTCTAATTCAGAAAAATAAGATATAGCCACTAGACAATCTTGGTGATTATAATTTTATTAAAAGGAATAACTTAGCTAGGTTATCTCAGCAGTTTGGGAGGCTAAGGCAGGAGGATCGAGAGTTCAAGATCAGCTTCAGAAATTTAGTGAAGCCCTAAGCAACTCAGTGAGACCCTGTCTCTAAATAAAAAAAAAAAATTATATATATATATATTTAAATAGGGGGCGGGGCTGGAGATGTGGATCAAAGGGTAAGCACCCCTGGGTTCAATTCCTGGTACAAAAAAAAAGATGAATAACTTCAGTAAAATATTTTATCCCATTTGTATGACTTTTTCACGTGACTTATAAGGGTCTCAAATACGAGCTATAAATGGGAATATTTCCTTACTCTTCTGTAGATAGAGTGTTTAATAAAATGATCTGCGGAAGTCCTCTACAGAGTGCTATAATCTGTTACGATTCTCGTTGGAAGTGGCATTCCTTCTTTGATAAAGCCTATTTCCTTCATCAGTATACATGAAATTACTTTTCATACAAATTATGGCCACGTGTCCACAGTCAGCCCAGAAGTGCCCGTGCCATATGGTCATCTGTCTGATGTAATCAGGCTTGGCCATCAGGGACTGGACCTGCCACATTCCAAAGGCAGAACTGGAACTTGTGATGGGAGAACAATGAAGGGTGTATCTCTGGGCAGCTCCCAGGAGGCAGGATGTCCTGACTTGCAGCCAAGGGTCCCCCTATCCCCCAAACACCATCATTTGTTATTTCTGTATCACCTTTCCTTTCTTCTTTTTTTCTTCCTCTTTCTTTCTTTACTTTATATCCTTTCTTTTCCATTCTTTCTTTCCTTTTATCCTTTCTTTCCTTGTATTTCATTAATAAACTTCTTTTAAAATCTCCAGACACTATTCTTGTAACATATATTTCTTTGTTTTTCTTTACTGTTTTATTCCTTAGTTAAATTTTTTTATGTCATCTGTGTCCTCTCTAATAATCTGTTTGGGGAATGTTTTATTTCACTCAAGTGCTTTAGACCGACAAAGTGTAGAATTCAGGGTTGCCACCTATCTATGGTAAGACAGGACTAGATCATTAATAACCTTCTGCTGTTTCTGGCCTATTATCTCATTAGATGCAACAGAAAAGCTCTTTTCTGCTTCCCTTTCCAAATATATCCAATGAAGAGGTCTGAACCTATCCTGCCCTTCACCAAATGGCAGGAAACTTTCAAAAATGTCCCCTACTAGTGTTCCTAGAGTTTCTGTCACCATGACAAGGAAAACAATGGGATAGGAGTCTATTAATTTTCCAGCCATCTTGGTATCAACCTGGCCCAACTCAACACAGCCTTTTACCAAGATGTGCAAGCACTGAGATAGACAGATGGTGCTGAGAGATGCTTGGACATGTGAGGAGGGATTGGGTCTGTAGTGTCCAATACTTAGACACTTAGGCTTGGAAATAGAGTCCCTGAAGTAGCAGAGGCCTGGACCTGCCTTAGAGCCATTGATGTTTCCCCATCTTGCCTTCCTGCACACTGTGTACCTGCTCTAACTGGAACCCTGGGTAATCTAACTATTATCGATTCAATCTTTCTGTAGGAAGAAGAACTGAAGCAGGGAGTAAGTTATGTCCCCTACTGCAGGTCTTAACTAACAGTGGAGGGGCCTGCGTCCTGCTGTTTTTCTCATTGCTTTTGCCTCTAATGTATGTTCATGCTTCAGTTTGGAAAGAAAAAAAAAAACTCATACTAATTTGCTTCCTTTTCAATGGTAGTGCTTGAATTGAAATTATAAAATTTGGCATTTCTTTTATAACTATCATGGCTGTTGGCACCAAAAGAAGACCTATTACATCTTTTAGAAGAGGGAACAAATTGGATTTTATTGGAAACATTTTAGGTCCCCAGAGATAGAAGTTTCAAATCAATTTAAGCTTTTAGGGGTTGTTGATCAGACCTCTCTCTCTTAATAGAAAGACCCAGTTACTAGAGATACACAGAGGTCAATGTTATCCCAAAACCCACAGCACACAGAAGGGAACCTCCACATCCTCTCATACCATGAATATTCAGTTCCGTTTCCATTTTACTGAAATGGTTTGGAAACTCTTTTTTATAAGAATCAGGCAATTAAATCCCTTTTCATCACATAATTATTAGGCCTTTTCCCCCCGTTGCTCACCAAAATGTGCTCAATCATGTAAGACTGTACTCGGTAACTGACTACCCACTTCCCATATTTTTGGTTCTTTCCCAGTATGGAATCTCAGCTGTTGATTGACAATAATCTCTAAAAAAATTAATTCACTTTCAGTCTTCCTCTTATCACAAGAACATTTCTGCTCTGTGATTTCACAAATCTGATACAACGCATTTATTTTCTGAATATAGGGGCATTGTGAACTCCCTAACCATGTCCTAAAATGGACCCCTGTGTCTGACCCTGTGGTCGGGTTCAGGATCAGCAAAGGGAGCAGCATAATTAAAAATAATAATAATAATTAGATTAAATGAAAGCAAAAGAAAAACAGCTTTAATGCCCCATGCATGTACCAAACTATGTATGACAATATATGCCACTTGCTAGTGTTATTAAAAAGTTTCACATTATTTCCATGGATCAATTAGAACTACAGCCTGTCCGATATCAACCTACCTTTTAATTTTTCTGTATGCTCTTTTCTATATTTAATTGTGTGTGTTTGTGTGTAACAAAGAATGTTTGCAAAAATGCTGGACACATTTCTACCCTTCATTCCCATGTTCTGTAAAAAAAAAAAGGAAAGTGTTAAATCAATCTGTAATGTCAGATAATAAAAACAATGTGCTACGTTATTTTGTACTTTGTGAAAACAATTACTTTACTAAGCTTAAGTCAAATTTTAATGAGGGACAGTCCTCGTGGGTTAAGGTCACATCACTTGTACAGCCTGTATAACTGCCCCTAAATGCATACATAGAGTATTGCTATTGTACTTTCAACACACTTAGATCATGGTAGAGAAAAATGCCTTACTTGTAATACCTCTCGTTGCAAACAGCCTCTTTTCTTTCCTGTCTCTTACTTTTGCATGTGCATAGAAAAAAAAATACTGCTCAAATATAACCTTCCCCCCCTTCTGGGGGAGAGAGAGGGCAATTATACTGTAGTTGGTCAACCGAGCTTCAACCCTTTCCCATGGGATCCCTTTTCTACCATTCCCAGGCAGCACATTCTTGAGAGGCTCCCTCACCTAGGATGTTTATAAACACGTAGATGCACAGAGCCAAACCATGGCAGTGCCCTTAGGGTGGTATCCCTGCCACCTCACCTTTAGCCCCATAGCTCCTCCAGCCTCTGCATCTTGGAGGGTCAGCCAGCAGTGGGTACTGCAGCATTGGCACCTGAGGGCATCAGTACCACCCAGATGTCAGTTAAACATTGTCTGGGTGTTCAGAGATTTTTGCCTGCCTGTTTTATCTATTTGCTTTTATGCTCAAGCCTTTCTTCACAAAGGACCTGGAGCAGCTTACAACAGAATATATAAACAAGGATTCCGTGAAATTGAAAATAGAAAAATCTAAAACTAAGGAAGAGGAAATGCAAATATGTTAATCATAAGGGACAAGGATGTTACTCTGAGCTTTCTGGCAATAAATCAAAAAAAAGGGAAATATGATCCGTGGTTTCATCAGTACAGAAATACCACTCTTTAGCAGAACAAAATTTCTGTGGCATATGATACAAAAGGCAGTCTTCACTGAGAAATTTATAGAAATAGTACTGCAAAATAAAAGGGAAAAATGCAGTCAAAGATTTCATGTGGCTGTTCCTTATACTGACCTTCAGTCCAAATTAAAGACAGAATCCCATAAATCCCAGCCCTATAGAGGCAGTTCTATAAAGAAAACAAATGCCATTCAAATCTATAGACTTCTCATGGTATAACATGATCTAAGGAGAGAATTTAGAGGTTTTAGATTGGTATCTGCTTCTAAATTCTATTTTTATTTATGAACCTTTCCCCTTTGGGGACATTTTCTTTGTAAAATCAAACTTAAAACTCCCCACACAACAAATTGTGCTTGATTTAATAACCTCTCCATGCTTTATCATAAGTCTGTGTGGTTCGATGTAGTGTTTTATTATACTGGTATATATAATTCCTACTTATACTGTTTCTTGTTATGGGTAATGCATGAATTTATCCCCCTTGAGGAGAGAACATGAATTTTTAAAAAATAGTGCCTGTAATATAATATGATGATTATGGTATCACAAGCAATAAATTTCTTTTTTACAAAACTTGAATTGAAGTTATCCTACCCTCTTTCTTCTTTGTGTATCTTTAAGATTTACTGAAGGAGCCATAAAAAGAACAGTCATAAAAAGTTCAATAATGAAGGCAGCATCTGGGATGGAATTGCAATAACAATATGTTCCTGAGTTTCTGGTGTACTACTAGTTCCAAATATTATGTGCCAGACTGACTTTGAGTTTAGAAAGTAAGGTCTCAATAATAAATTTCTATAAAAAATTACAAGGGTTAGACATGTATCACAGTGCTTCCTGCTCTTCACTTACAGCTATAAGACCTTGAGTAAGTAAATAAACTTCCTGATAATTTATTTTGAACATACTGATAATACATGGCTCATAGAATTAATTCATGTATTTTAAAAGATTATGGATATGAAAGCACTCCGCAAAAATACTAGATGGATGTCAGCTTTAACTATATATGTATGTATTTATATGTATCTAAGTATATATAAACTTTTCAAATTGGACCCATAGTTTACACAAGTGCGCACACACACACACACAGACTCACTCAGTTAACAAACAGTATCTCCATCAGGAGAAGAAATTTGAATAGACTTTAAATTTGTTCATATTTCTTGTAAGTGCTTGTAACAGAAAAAGTAATAGAGCAATCTAATAAGATTTTCTTTTCCTGTTTCTGGTAACATAAATATCATCCTAGGTATGCTGATATTTTCAGAGCATTGCTATCACTCATGTCAGAGGAGACATTTTTGAACAGCCAATACCGAAAAATGCTGAAAGTGTCAAACTTTCTGCACCGTGTTCAACAAGAACTCCAAGATCTTCTCTGAAAGTTTTATTTATAACACATATTTTTTTGTTTGAAAGAGCTAATTGGCACAGGATGTGTATTTTAGTCAAGGATCAAAATAAAGTTTGTGTTTATTTGCAGTGAATTCTCTTTTTGAATTTATAGTAAAGATTTACTTTGAAAACTATAGACTTTAGAATCAAATTGTTCCTCATTTGGGAGAATAATGTGTGTACATTGATATTTCATTGAACAGTACAACTATTCCAATTTAGTGGAGAAAAAAATTGTCAAATATCATTCCCAATTCCATCTCCTGTCCACATTCTCTTCCCTGTTTAAACTGGGTGGTCCAATTAACTCAGGAAATTCTTGTCACTCAGGTTCCAATTACTCCCAAACACACTCTGGAATATGACCAGACCAGAAAGGACCGGTTTTAACAGCCTGGGTTTCTCCTTCCTTTATTTCTTTTTTTGGTCATTTTCTTTGGTGGGTTTTCCATGAAGTCATGGACCAGTAAAAATTGAAGGAGGTAATAATTCATCTCATAGATGATCATCAGCAGTATAAACACTAATATCTAGTGTTTAAAATGTACCTTTTCAGTTGTGCCGATCTTCTTTTAAAAAAAATAAATAAATAAAAGTTGGGATTCATTAACTAATTCTAGAAAATAAAAAGAATTTCTCTTCTTAAAAACCTCCAAAGACAACGGACCTCCTCTTCTAGTTCAGAATAAAGTCTACACTGAATTTCCCAAGAGTGGCTCCTCCCCCTTCTCTACCTCATTTTTTTCTTTACTCCCCACAGGGAATCTGGTGCTTTGGCTCCACTGGCCTCTCCACCATCCCAAAATACCCCTCACACATGCCATGCCTTGCTCAGGCTAGTCCAAAACCCAGGTACTTTTCTCTCAATACTTGGTCTCTCCTGCCTGGATATCCTTTGTTTGGACTCAAGTGGAATAATTCCCACTGCCAGACCAGTCAGAATGAACCACCTCCTCTGTATCCCACAACACTTTGTATACATCCTTCCCTTTAAGAAGCCATAGTATAGAAATCCCAGCAGTACAATGACAGTGGGTGAACGTGTATTGGAGGAAAGGATGACAGTGAATGTGCCACATTGCTTTGCTGTGCCTTCCCAGGCTGTGAGGTACCACCAGGCATGACCAGGCTGCATTGTTAGCCAGACCTGGAGGCAGCCTTTACAGGACTTGGGGAGTGGGCTGCATAATGCCCTGCCTTACCGTCAGGGTGGGCTGTTCAGCAGTTAGACTGCTGCCCCTTTGCTTGAAGAACCCTTCCTTTCTAGAGCTGAGTAGAAACCAAAATACTTCCTGGAAAAAAAAATCAAAAAATTTATGGATCTTGTCAGACTTTTTAAAAATTGATACAATAGCAGGTTGAGTGGACCCAGAGGATGGTGTGTGGAAATTAATTTTTCATTTATTCTCTAGGAAGAGAGCTATTTTAAAATTTGCCAAGTGTGATATATGTTTTCCTTCTTCAATAAATCAACTCTCTCCTAGGGAACTTTAGATCTATATATTGATCTGCATGGACCATTGTCCCCTAAGTCTTTGCACCATTAATCATGGAGTAATTTCCAGGGAAGCATGCTCACAGGGATTATTCACTCTAAGTCTTCTGAAGTTGGTAGCAGATAACCACGCTTCATGACCCAGCTAGAGGCCACCATTCTACAGGGGTCATCACCTGTGAAAATGAAACTCAGTGACATCATCACTGATATGCCCCAATGCCAGCAGGCCTCTGCCCTTTCCTAATGGCCCTACAAGAATGGAACAGAAAGAAAGAACAGAGAAGGTGTTTTCCACACCAGTGCTAGGAAGGTACCATTCATCAAACTGCTCTGACGAAGAGATGGGGCCAGGATCACCCAGGCAGTTAGCATCCTGCCCCCAGAAGTCTGCATAAGGGTGGACATGCCTCGGAGTTGAAAATTGTAGGAAAGATGCAGCTGAATCTTTTCACACAGAATCTTCCACCTAAATTCTTCACATAATCAGACTGCTTGAAATTGCTCCAATTAGGGATTCATTTGGGAGATGGTAGCTATTAGTCATTCACACATTGGTGTAATTTAGATTCAGTCAATTGTTTTTCCCTTAACACAGAACCACAGTCAATTATTTTTCTCTTATCACAGAACCACTAATGGGAGTTTCAGGGAAAAGAATCAGGCAGATTCTTAGGGCTAGCTGGCTTTGAAGATCAGACACTAAGCAGGGAGGCATTGGGCCTCAGACACCTGGGAGCCCAGCACACTGAGAGCAGGGGACAGGCTCACAGAAAGAAAGGCGGAAGGGCCAGATGTACATCTCAGTTACAAATGCTGCTAAAGGGAAGAGCCCCATGAGCATCCTGTGCCAGAGAACCTGACATAACAGGTGTAAGCAGGGCTGGGGTCAATACAGCCCCAGTACAACTACTGAAATATTGAAATATGGTCCACAGCCCGTCTCTGAAATTGTGAGGTCCCCAAATTCAGAAGTTTTCAGGTCTCTGAAAGGCAGTGTTATGCAAATATCGTATCCATAGCTTCACGTCCCATTAGAGCCCAATTCATTAGGAAGCAATAGTTTGTTGGCAAGGGGTATCAAAATTACAGAGAAGAGATTGGGGGCCTATACTTCTGTACTGATCCATAAGCAGCCAAAGGCCCTCCTGCCACCCTGAACACCTACATCTCCCCACGATGAGGACCCTCTCCAATAGCACACCCTCGTGGGGCTGTGCCTGCACCCTTCTCGGCCTGCAGCTCACTAAATCTTTCTAGGCTGAGTGTACCACAGACAGAAGCATGTGATGATGACAACATTCACAATCCTGAGAAGCAGCTGAGCTGCTGTGGAAAAGCCCAGGTTTGTAGTCCAGGGGCTAAGGCTGGGGGTCCTTTTTATCTCTGCCAATCACTAGCTCAGAGACCTTGGGTAACACAGTTCTCCCCTTGGAACCTCAGTCTGTCAATCTGTAAAACAGGAATCATAATAACTTATTTGGTTGTTAGGAGGATTAAGTGAAGTATTGGGGGAGGGGTGTTAAAGACAGACTGCAAATTGCTATTTAAATAAATTATCATTTCTACTACTATATTAGAAAATGGGACAAAACAATGTGTCTAAAAATGTTTATGCACTGTAAATTACATACGAAAGTGAAATTTTAGGGCTGGGGATATAGTCAGTTGGTAGAGTACTTGCCTTGCATGCTTAAGGCCCTGGGTTTGATCCCCAGCACCACAAAAAAAAAAAAAAAAAGAAGTGAAATTCTGTTATTATTGTGAACTTCCTACCAAGAATCTGGTTCCTAGAGTTGAGAGGCCAAGAAGAGACCACTTCTACAAGTACTCTGCCCCACTTCCCATCTCCAGTCCCGACACCCTAGTGACTAGTTCTTTGGTAAAGAGGACAGAGAGGAAAGACCCAGGGACCCTGCTAAGGGCCCTGGATTGGAAAGAATGCACAGGAGAGGTGGTCCAGCTAGGGAACACTCAGACCACCTAACCAACATCTGTCTCCTTTGAGGGACACTTCACCAACCACAGTCCCTCCTCTAGCCCAGAGCACTGTGTCAGCTACCAGCGCTGCCACTCGGGCTCCATCTCCTAAGAGCAATTCTTTTCACTCTCTGAGCCTTGGAATCCATAGCTGCATATTTAGAGGAATAATTCCTACTTCATAGGGTCATGGAGAGAAATCAATGTGTATATCTATAAAACCCTTTGAATATCATAAAGCATGACTCGAATATGGAGTTATTTATTACTGGCATGGGAAGCTGGGGAGGAGGAGCTCACAGGGTTTCAAGGCCATGGGGCTGAGCTGCAACGTTTCTGGGGAAACCAGACCCCTCCTTGAGCAGGCTGAGGAAAGCAGGCTGCAAAGCATCGCAAACCAGCAAAGTTCTCTCTCCTGGGCCTGGAAAGACCATTGCAAGGTACTGTTGAGAGGGAAGGAATGGATCCTCCGCCCTCTGGGCACCACATGAGTTTTTTCTGTGCTCTGTTCTGGTTTGCTTCATTTTAAATTCTGGGGTTTTCTTCAATTTATATATTTGACAATTGTGTGTGATGCTGAGCCCTGGAGAGCTAACGGCATGGCATTTTCAAGATTGATGTTGTGTGTTTTTAACTGCAAGCAGCTGAACCCAAAGCAAGGATCTAAATAGAATATTCCAGACCATTGCTCTCGCAGTGCATG